GAAAAGATAGTAAAGGGGAGGAAGGATGAAGACTTAATAGTGGATAGTGGTCCTGTCAATGAAGCGGGAGGCAAAGGTATCTTCTAAGAATGAGAAGGATAGGGAGCAGAGTTAGGTTCTTAAGTAGGGAAGAAAGGTTTATAAATGGATGCTGTGAGCAGGAATAGAAGTCAAAGGATGGGTGAGCAGCGCTGAGGGCCCAAATGATATTGAGTAACATAAACATGTCCTGGAGCTAGTTGCCATGGTTACAGTTTTATTTCCCCACTATAATTGAAGAGGCAGAGATTGGCAATGTGGACCTGAATGAATGAATGAGTGAATACACATACAGTAAAACGTAGAGTATACGAGAACAGATGCATGACAATAAATGAAATCTGTATGAAATCTCTCAGTGAATCCACCAGATTTGAGCTTAGTTTTGAACTTCGTGGTGGTAGGACGTGCTCCTTAAATTTTTTGCTTTGCAAACATTTACTCTTTGATTCAACCCACCATCACTATGACCACCTTCACTCACTGATTCACCAAAAACTGGGTAATTGTCTTACATGTTTTTATTAATCTTTCCTAACTGTATGTATAGTTCACATTTATTTCAATATTACATATTAGAAGTGTTTTAGGTCTTTATTTAGAAGTATAGTGATGTTTTTGTGATCAGAAATATGCCGTGAGAACTGAACTCTTGTTTATATCAATTAACCTATGGTAAAATTGGTTTCATTTTAGTTTTCTTAAAATCGCAGTTTCCAAGAACCTATTGACAATGTTAAGTGAGGACTTACTGTAGTAAAGTAAAAGGTGAGGCCGTGAATGTATTGCCAATGCAACACGAGGAACCTGCTTGAGATAGTTGGGATCCATGAGGTCAGAGTGTTGGATGGGTTATCCACGTCGATATTGAAGTATCTCAGGATGATGGCAGAGAATGAGGTACAGAGGAAAACTGTGAGCTAAGTGGTAAATTTCTGAGGAACATGGACATGAGTAGATGATCATGGCACAACCTGATGCCCTAGACTTCAAAGAAGAGTTGAGGAATCAAGGTGTTGGAACAGTCTAGAAGTGGCAGTGGGGAGCAGTGAGAATGATGCTGCTGTAAATCTACCAATGCAGAAGAGAAAACCGGTTTAAGTAAGTGGAAGGATGTGGCTTTGTGAAGAGATCTGCCAGGTGATTTGGAAGGAGTTTTGGAAATGATACAATCTATTATACTAAGATGGAAGCAGATGCAGAGAGGCAGAATGATTGTCTTAAGCTCGCACAATAAGCTCGTGGCAGTGGAAGGAGTGGGTTGAGACAGTATGGGCTACTGGATAGGAAATAAGCTTTTGAATCAGATGGACCTGGTTTGAATACCAGCATTATTATTTACTGGCTGTGATATGTGGGGTACTACCTAATATCTCAGATTTCTCATCTGTAAAGTGCATAATAGCTACCGCAAAGGATTGTTTTAAGGATTTATGAGGTTGGTGTATGTTGAAGTACTTACTTTGTGTATCTTACCTGGCACACAGAAAGTGCTCAATACATTTTGACTACTTATGCTGAAACTGAATCAAAAGAACCCTGACTCTTAGTTCTGAACTTTCTGGTCCTTCCACACTGACCTGACATTCTCTCTATTTGGAGGTTATTGACATTAGGCAGCCTATCTTCTTCATAGGAGCTTTCCTGTACTACTCACTCCAGATTCCTTGTCAGTAAGATATTGGGCCTCTGGCCTCCGTGGAGGCTCCAAAAAACTGCTGACATTGGTAGTTGCTGACAAGCTAGTTTAACCACTACTATATATATATCTGGTTTACATGCCAGTTTGCTTCCTGTGATGGTTGAAAAACTTTTTGCTGAGTGAGATGCTAAAACGGGTGCCTCATAGGACCCTCTCTCATGTATTTCCAGAGATCTTTTTTTTTTTTGAGACAGAGTCTCGCTTTGTTCCCCAGGCTAGAGTGAGTGCCATGGCGTCAGCCTAGCTCACAGCAACCTCAAACTCCTGGGCTCGAGTGATCCTTCTGCCTCAGCCTCCCGGGTAGCTGGGACTACAGGCATGCGCCACCATGCCCGGCTAATTTTTTATATATATATCAGTTGGCCAATTAATTTCTTTCTATTTATAGTAGAGACGGGTTCTCGCTCTTGCTCAGGCTGGTTTTGAACTCCTGACCTTGAGCAATCCGCCCGCCTTGGCCTCCCAAGAGCTAGGATTACAGGCGTGAGCCACAGCGCCCGGCCTCCAGAGATCTTTAGAAATATGAAATCCTCCATACTCTTCATCCTCCTCCTACATCTGCCTGGAATTGTTTAAGCATGAGTAATGAAATAAAATAAGGACAGCCAGAGATGATCTAGAAACAGACAGGTTTAGCAACTTGCTTGGTTCTTGGCAAACTAGGACTTGTAATCCATTTTACTCACTATTGGTTTGTTTATTTTTAAAATGTATCTCATGTAATAACTACTATTTTTAATTGAAAAGCAATATATTCACAGGAAAATAATTCCAAAGTGCCTATGATATATAATTAAAAATTACCTTGTTCCTACTTCAGGTCTCTTCCTTCTAATCCTACTCCTGGCTGCCACTACCGTTAAAAGTTTTTTGGTATCTTTTCAGAAATTTTCTATGTAATATTTTATGTATATGCAAGCATATATATGAGTACTTATTATTTAAAAAAACACACAATGACATAATCTATAAATTGTTTCATGCCTTGCTTTTCTCCACTCAACACTACAAATTGGAGACAGTTTTATATCTGAATATAGTCCTTTGTCTTTCTTTTTAATGATTGTGTAATAAGCATAGTATGACTGTAGTGGAAATTATTTAGCCTTAACTTCCATTTTGGTTCTTCTGACATGTCTTTTTTTGTTGGTTGGCAACACTGTTTTCCCAGTTCTTTGCCTCCAAACCTTCGAGTCATACTCATCCTCCTCCTTCCTGATTTCTAGTAAATCTTGCCAATTCCTCCTTTATAACATTTTTCCTGTGTATCCATTCTTTTACATTCTCATTGGCGCCTCCCTGGTTTAGGCCTTATCATCTCCCATAGCATCTTCCTACCTCCAAATTCTCTATCTCTGCACATCTTGCACATCTGTTCTTGACTCAATTTCCTAGTGCTAAGTTCTGCTTGTGTCACTCTTCTTAAAAACCTCCTGTAGGCCGGGCTTGGTAGCTCATGCCTATAATCCTAGAACTCGGGAGACTGAGGCAAGAGCATCGCTCAAGGTCAGGAGTTCGAAACCAGCCTGAGCAGGAGCGAGATGCCGTCTCTACTAAAAATAGAAAGAAATTAATAGGCCAACTAAAAATATATATATATAAAAAAAATTAGCCAGGTATGGTGGCGCATGCCTGTAGTCCCAGCTACTCAGGAAGTTGAGGCAGAAGGATTGCTTGAGCCCAGGAGTTTGAGGTTGCTGTGAGCTAGGCTGATGCCACAGCACTCTAGTCCAGGCAACATAGTGAGATTCTGTCTCAAAAAAAAAAAAAAAAAAAAGAGAAAAACCTCCTGTAGCTTCCCATTCATTATGTTACTTAAAAACTCATGCACTGATCAATAGGTCTGATTTTTAGGTTGTAATCCAGACAGTTTATGAAATGCAGATGCCTGGATCAGAATCTCTCTCTATAGGACCTTTAGTCTGTATTAAAAAAAAATATTTCTTTGGCTGGGGGCAGTGGCTCATGCTTTCCACACTTTGGAAGGCTGAGTTGGAAGGATCACTTGAGGCCAGGTGTTGGAGACCAGCCTGGGCAACTTACCAAGACCCCATTTCTACAAAAAATTAAAAATTAGCCCAGCATGTTGGCACGGTATGTTGGTGCATGCCTGTAGCCCCAGCTACTCGGGAAGCTGAAGCAGAAGGATGGCTTTAGCCTAGAGTTTGAGGCTGCATTGAGCTATGATCATGCACTGCACTCCAGCCTGGGCAACAGGGTGAGACTCTGACTGAAAAAAAAAAAGTTTCCAGGCTCTTCTGATGCAGTTTGTTGGATAAGTGGAACTATTACAGTAAACTACACACTTCTTATCCCAATATTTAAGGCTCCTCACAATTTCTTTCTAGGGCACCTTTCCAGCTCCATCTCTTACTATTATACTTTTTTACATGTCAGTGCAAATAAAATTCTTGTCGGCTGTCTGGATGCTTCTTACACCTTCTAGCCACACTTTTTAAGCTTCCAAAGCGAGTCTCTTTACTAAGCTGTCACATTCAAAAGAGATCCCTGTGGCAGGGCGCGGTGGCTCACGCCTGTAATCCTAGCACTCTGGGAGGTGGAGGCTGATGGATTGCTCGAGGTCAGGAGTTCGAAACCAGCCTCTGGCAAGAGGGAGATCCGGTCTCTACTATAAATAGAAAGAAATTAATTGGCCAACTAATATATATAGAAAAAATTAGCCGGGCATGGTGGCACGTGCCTGGGTCCCAGATACCTGGGAGGCTGACGCAGGAGGATTGCTTGAGCCCAGGAGTTTGAGGTTGTTGTTAGCTAGGTTGACGCCATAGCACTCACTCTAGCCTGGGCAACAAAGCGAGACTCTGTCTCAAAACAAACAAACAAAAAGACAAAAGAGATCCCTGAACTCGATTCTCTGAACTGGCTTTCAGCCACATTCTGATCTATATCACAGTTTTGTATTCTCCAGTCTTCGCGTGTCCCCTACTAGATTGTAAGATCTCTATCAGCAGAACATACATAGTCAGTCCTTCTTATTCGCGTCTACAGAGTCTTTTGCAGTTAGTGGCAAAGGTGTTAAACAAGAATTTGTGGGATTAGGGCCATTGCCTGACTTGATCATCACTGTATATGGAGTGTCGTTAACTTTTCCTGCTTTATAGCTGGCTTTCAGAACATATTTGTGGATTCAAAGAGTAAATGAACAGAACTCAGCTTAACATTGTCCCGAGAACTACAAATCCCAGCGGACATCGCGCGGGACGTCCGAGGGCGCGGTGACGCAAGGGGGCGTGCCGAGCCTGAAGGAGGGGTCGTCCTGCGGGTAGCCAGAGGCTGGGGTGGTTTTGGAGCTTGGGGTGAGAGAGGGAGTGTTGGGGAGTGAAAGGTGAGTCGAGCTGAAGTGGGGGACGCGCTGTTCGGCGCCCCCAGTCTATGGAGCGGGGTAAGATGGCGGAGGCGGAGAGCTTGGAGACAGCAGCGGAGCACGAGCGGATCCTGCGAGAGATCGAGAGCACCGACACGGCCTGCATCGGGCCCACGCTCAGGTACCCCGGGTACCGGGGCCACCAACCGGCTGGCACGGCCGGGACGGGGGGCGGGCTCCTTTGGGTCTGTGCCCGGCCGGCCGCCCCGAGAGCCGGCGCCAGCCCCTCCCTTTGGAGAGACCCACTGGCGATCTGCAGCCTGGGCTAGGCGGGTCTCCCTCTGCAGCCCCGGCGCGGGGTCCCTTCTCGACCGCCGGCGCCCCACAGCCCAGTTACTCAGGAGGCTCCGCCTGCCTCCCTCGGGGCTAAAGCAGCCTTCGTTCTCCCTCTGAGGCCAGCCCAACTCCTGGGAGCGAGAGTGCACCCGGCAGAGGGGGGCTCCTAGCAGGTCTTCTCCCTGGGGACATCACCCTTCTCCCTCCGACTCAAACCAGGTCCAGCCCTAGATGTAAGTCCTGCTCTTCAGGCAAAACAGAATTCCACTCCGCGGTCTGTTTTCGACATTAAACTTTCGCCTGAAAATCACAACCACTTCTGAGAAACGAGTCCCCGAAAATCCTAGGCCCTAGATGGAAGTTTCCCTCAACCCGCGACCCTCTTCTGAGAGCCGCTGCTCCTAGAGCCCGGTTAAGAAGATGACCCTCCCTAAGGTGCAGCCTCCGGGTATTCTCATCGCCGAGGAAAATTTACCCCGCTCCCGCCCCCAAGTTACCAATACTTTGCACGCATATCTCCATTTTTTTTGTAGATGTCAAAGCAAACCCTGACCTACCTCAACATATTTAATAAAATTTAAGTAGTACATGTTACATACATTGACGACTTTGTATTAAGTGATTTACAAATATAACTTATTTAAACCACAAAACAATGTTATTAGGTAGGTACTCTTATTACTCTTATTTTACAGATGAGGCACAAAGAGGTTAATTGACTTGCCCAAGGTCACAAGGAAAAAAGTAGGGAACTCAGATTTCTACTCCAGCAGTCAGGATCCAGACTCTAACCACTGTTATTCTGCCTCAATTGGAGGTTACCATCTACCCGCACTTCCTGCCTATAATAGCTCAGCAAGCTCAATTTTTTTTTTTTTTTTTTTTTTTTGAGGCAGAGTCTCACTCTTTTGCCAGGCGGCCTAGAGTGCCGTGGGGTCAGCTTAGCTCACAACAACCTCAAACTCCTGGGCGATCCTCCTGCCTCAGCCTCCCGGGTAGCTGGTACTACAGGCATGCGCCACCGTGCCTGGCTAATTTTTTCTATTTTTAGTTGTTTGGCTAATTTCTTTCTATTTATAGTAGAGAGGGGGGGGAGGGTCCTCACTCTTGCTCAGGCTGGTCTCGAACTCCTGAGCTCAAATGGAGTGCTAGATTACAGGCGTGAGCCACCGTGCCCAGCCAGCAAGCTTAATTTTGAACTACTTTTCCCTTTCCCCTCAGGTTACTGGTGTCCTAGAACTAATTCATCCTCATTCATCCCTTTCTGTTGTTCATTCTGGTCTCCACACTGCCAAGAGATAGATAATTATCTTACCCTTCTTGTACAATCTTGAATCACTTCTCCTCCCTTCAAAAAAATTATTACTCACTGCTTGCTTTGTCATGGGCAGAGTTGGCTCATGAAAGGCTGATTGAAGGAAGGGCAGGCAAGGGACAGCTCATCTCCACCTGTACAGCTTCCTTCTCCAGGGCACATTGAAAAAACAGTTCTCTCAGTGCCATCCTTGCTCCTAACTATCCTTAGTAGTTTGCCTTTTGTCCTTTAAAGTGACTTTTAGCTCCATTTTTGTACCAGTTCTTCCACGCAGTCGCTCCATTACATTAGGATTGCGACCATCATGTTCTTCTCATATCCTGTTTTCTCCAGCTTTTAAGAGTCAGTGATCCTCATTTCAGTCTTTACTTTTATAAAAACTAAGATCTACTTGTATTCTAAGTGCATTATTAATGGTTATTAATATTTGGTTTTCATAAAATAAAATGTTACTAGAGTTACCTAGGATGCTGTTTCAAAATTCTGTTGAGAAATTTGGCTGCTGAGCTGTATTTGTGAGCCCAGCAAAGCTCCCACTGAAGCAGTTACCAGAGTTTTTTGGAAAAATTCTTCATCAGAGCACCATGGATATTGTCTTAAGTTGCTTGTGGTTTTCAATTGCTGTTGTTCTTGTTTTATGTGATAAATGGCTTTAGTGTTGTCAGTTTAGTTTGTTGTTATTTATTTATTCATTAACCCTCCATTGAATAATAATAATATATATTTATATAACTTAATTTTGGCCTATAATTTTCTGGTGTCATGATTTTAAGAATTTAGTTTTCTCTTGATATCTGCAGGAGATTGGTTCCAGGACACCCTGCAGATACCGAAATCCATGGGTGCTCATGTCCCTTATATAAAACAGTATAATATTTGCATGTAACCTATGTACATCCTCCTGTAAATGATATATAAATAGTTGTTATACTGTATTGTTTAGGGAATAATGACAAGGACAAAAGTCTGTGCATTTTTTTTTTTTTTGAATAATTTTGATCCAAGGTTGTTGCACCCATGGATACATAGGGCCAACTGTATATGCATTATGGTTCACATATAAGTTAGCCATTTTCCCTAAAATTTGTTTCATTATTACTGAGTTTTTTCCCACTGGAAAGTGGGGTTTTGTGGAGGTAGATGGATTGAGGAATATTTTTCCCCAAGGGGACACTGTAAAAAAAGTAAAAAAAATTTGAGACTCACTGGACTGTCCTATCAGTTTTAGTTGCTTTTCCTGACTTCCTTATTATTAGGGGCTTTTCATTTTTAGCCTTGTCTTTTCTTTGGCAGATAACCCTAAATCTTACTATCAGACCCAAAGTTCAATCACTTGAACATATTTTAATACAAGTAGGACTCACTGTCTTTTTCTTTTGTCTAGCTTTTCCCTGCTTGTATTCATTCATAGGGGATGATCTCACCTTTTTTCCCTATCCTATTCAGAGGTAGCAGCATGCACAGACTTGATGTTTCAGAACCCATGCCTTACCCTGTGTGTTCCTCTGTTGTCATTATCTCCTGATTTTCCATCACAATCATTAAATTGATTTGATTAAGGCAATAGGCTCTCTTCCCTTAACCACCCTAAACTGTAAATGTCAAACTTCTCTCCCCCTCTTTATAGTATGTCTTTCTTATTTCTCCCATCTTTTGAGGTGGCATTTTTAAGGCACCAAATTATTAGCTGTTCCTGAGATAGGTTTTCTAACTGAAAAGGAACTAAAGAACAGAGAATAATGGTCAATTGATAGCAGATATAAGATTAGTATACCCATCCCTAAAATTCCTGCTCTTTGAAAAAGTCTGCTTTGGCTGCATTGCCTAACCAGATTCTTTTGCCAGCTATTATTTGTGTATCATTATTTGCTTTCTTTCCCTGCTGTGATACCAAATTATTTTTCTAGTCTTACAGCTTTTTGTTTGAGAAGTTACAGTGGCTTGACTTTTTCAGTATATGACTATTCTTATTTTAGTCTTGAACTGTACATGCAATTCTAGTAGAGTCCCACCTTTCTTTTTCATTGTAATTCTGAAAGGCCCAAGCATATCTACACCTATAGAGGCTATTACTTAGCAAATTCTTTTGGGAAAGCAGCCATATCTTTCTTCTCTGTCCTCATCTTAAAAATTATTTTGTTACCTGTAAGTCCTAATTTTGGAAAGAGGCCCATAAGATGTTAGGACCTGTCCTGTTTTTAAAATAGTATTGATTCTTGCTTTGTATCACAAATACTAAAATTTTGATTACAAATCACTCATGAGTAATAGCTCCATGTTTTCATTTTTCAAATCCCATCTCTATATGTGCTCTCTTCTTTCATATCACTTACTCAATAGCAGTCATTTCTTGACTTGGCTCTCTGAGTAATAGCAGTTAACATTCAGTCTAATTGTTTTTAGATTTTGTTTTTAAACTTTAAAATTTTACAGTGAAATACATTACCATTTAACAAATAGCTTTATTGAGGTATAATTCATATATAATTTACCCAGTTAAAGGGTACAATTAAATGGTTTTTAGTGTGTATATTCACAGAATTGTGCAGCGATCACCACAGTTTAATTTCAGAACATTTTTCATCACCCCCAAAAGAAGCCCTATACCCATTAGAAGTCATTCTTGATTCGGTTCCCCCATTCTCCTCAGGCAATCACTACTTTCTTTCTTTATTGGTTTGCCTATTCTAGACATCTGGACATTTTTATAAATAGAATCATATAATAAGTGTTTTTCTGTAACAGCATAATGTTTTCAAAGTTCTTCTATGTGATAGCATGTATCAGTACTTCATTTCTTTTTATAGCTGAATAATATTCTACATTTTTTTTTTTCATCAGTTGATGGACATTTGGATTGTTTCCATTTGGGGCTGTGGAACAGTGCTGCTATAACCATTTGTATACTAGTTTTTGTGTGGACATGCTTTCATTTTTCTTGAATATGTACCTAGGAGTGGAATTTCTAGGCCATATGGTAACTCTGTTTAACATTGTGAGGAACTGCCAGACTGTTTTCCAAAGTGTCTGCACCATTTTACTTTCCCACAGCAATGTATGAGGGCTCCAATTTCTCCATATCCTTGTCAACACTTGTTATTATCTTTTTAATTTTAGCCACCCTTGTGGGTGTGAAGTTGCATTTCGTTGTAGTATTAAGTTGCATTTCCCTAATAGCTATTCTTTTCATGCACTTTTTGGACATTGTTTATCTTCTTTGGATCCTTTGCCCATTTTTAAATTGTGTTATTTGTCTTTTTATTGTTGAATTATAGAAGTTCTTGATATATTCTGAATATAAGTCTCTTATCAGATATATGATTTGCAAATAATTTATCCCATGTTGTATGTTGTCTTCTTACTTTTTGATGTCTTTCACTTTCTTAACTTGCTATACATAAGTTTTTAATTTTAATGACATCCAGTTTATCTATTTTTTTCTCTTTTTGCTTGTGTTTTTAATGTTGTATTTAGGAAGCTTTTGTTTAACCCAAGATGATGAAGATTTGCTCCTATATTTTTTCTAAATG